TCAGCAAACATTAAGGCGAATCATAGGATTCCAGCCAAAACATGAAATGTCCAAGTAAGTGGACCGAATTTGACTATAAAAAGTAGGTCGGTTTGAAGCTGGCTACCTTCCTTGCCTTCGTGTCTGGTAAATTATCGTAAAGCATGGTGCCCTGTTTTAATGATGTCTGTCACATGACGGACGAAAGCTCAACAAGGATTTATCGGGGTTGCAGGGCAGTGTACCAAGGTCCTATATGCATAATTCTGCAGTCACAGCTCCAAGGCAATACCCCTACAGCTTCCGGTGAGGAAAACTTACGAATCCCTTCCACTTGCCTCTTTAAACGAAATGTAAGATACTCCAACATCAATCTATAAAGGGATTCTTCGAAACCCAGTTTTTCTGCATACAGAACGATTAGCTTTGAATTCAATCGTAAGTCATAATGGCTCTGCATACTTTATAGGCACAGGCATGTGACTATTGGTCCTAATTTTGAAGCAGAATGAGACATTTATTTTTTAGCCAGAATACAAAGATTCTCGCATGTTCTGAAATCGACATTTTTCAATAAAGTTCACAATTATTATTATGGTTATATTACCTGTAAATTAATAAAATAGTAAAAAATAGTCTATAAAATAACTTTTGGCCAATTTTGAGTATACAGGAAAGAATTCAAATGATAAATATAGTTCTTTTTTAAGTTGACGTGAAAAGCCCAACCAACAAGTTTTGATGAACCAAAACGAAATACATTGACGAAATTCCGTCCTTTCAAAATTGGTCCAACCTTTTTTTCGCAATCCAGTCACGTTTCTAGGGTGAAAACGAAGAGTGTACTCTATATTGGAGGTGGGATAAGTAAATCTTTTCTAAATAATTATCAGCAAGCATCTACAGTTAACAAAGGACACCTTTTAAAGGGGCATTATATAAAACAAGCTTGAGAATTTGTATACTTTCAAAAGACAGATAAATCAGACATATCATCCCACATAAAGGGAATGTATTATACATTATTCTTGTAAAGAAAAAATATGCCAAAATTAGTTATCCAAGCTTGGACCATATAAAATGAAATCCGCTTAAACTTGTATGGCTTACGTGTTGTGTTCCGCCGATTGGTAGTTGGCCAAACCCTGACAAGCCGGCACCGTTACAAGAGTCTAACACAGAACTAAATTCGTTGCCCCCAGCCTGATTTAAACAAGAGCTTGTGGATCCGGTGGTCGCAGGGGCGGTTAAACAATGCAGGCAAGCAGACGGAGGCACAGCAGTTGGTAGGAGACTGGTCGTCAACAGAGAAACTTCAAGACAGTCATTAGAGCTCACGGGTACATTAGTAAATCGTCGACTGTGAGGAGGCTGCCAGCTGGTTGTAACCATTAACCCAGATGGGGTGCTTCCATCAATCATCTTATCATCGGCCGTCGGAGCAGCAACTGCTGCTGGGGATGATGAAGAGGAAGCCGATATGTTAGCCTGTTGCTTAAGGGAACCAGCCAAAGTTCCAATCAATGCAGACGTGGAAGAGATCGAACTGGCTGGCAAGGTCATATTAGTCGTCCTAATCATTGACGTTGGTGTTGAGGCTGTTGAAACTGTGGTCATCGCTGCCGATCCAACACAAGTGTTTCGGCAAGATCGCCATAATTGTTGTTGTAATGGCTCTGTGCTGCCGCGAGAAGAGGAAGCATGGAGGCCGGGTTTTCCACTTGCAGGGTACCATGGATTGCTGACCAAAAGTTGTTCTTAGAAAGTTGCAAAGCCAGAATATAGAAAAGAAGTACATTTTCCATGCAAAAACCATGCTTATTGAGGATGTGGATGATCCATTGCAGCTGGAGAGCATAATATATCTGGGTATATATGTGTTACATAACAAAGTAGCAGGTCAACTCAATAAATTAGTTGTTAAACTGAATATTTGTAAAAGCCATGATGAAATCCATTTGAGCTTAAATATGATATCAAGATGGTATGGCCTCGAGTTTGATCGCAGTCTAATTAAAGTACAGTGTTGTCTTTACCCCGTTTTCACAACTTGGTCGGAGTGACAGGGAGACCTCGCAGAGCGTAACTAGTCCTGCGCCCTCTGCCATAGTAACCACAATTATTTCCAA